GCGAGCGAAGCAAAGATGATGCATAGTGGAGATGGATGGGAAGCCAACTCGAGAGCGAAGCAAAAATAATGAGCATTGGAGATGGCTGGGAAGCCAACTCGCAATGAGCAAGCATTACTCAATACTTATAATCAAACAAAAATGAATGACAGGATTATGGTGAATAGGATACGAAGGGTACGCATATACGCTCATATAAAACTACAGTCAAGGTCAATAAGCGAATAATTAATAAGACCAAAATATGACTCATAATGTATAGGTGAATTGGCTTGGCCAGTAGCTAGAATAAAGTATATGGGCTTAACATAACAACCAATACTACAATCTGATAACATATATGATGAATGGAAGCTAAGATACATCCACTCACAACAAAGTAAACTTTCTAATGTTTATATACATATTGAATTCCGACAATGTATGAATTAAACAAATTAATTATTCTTTGTGAAGATAACGACTACTCATTTGATGAAAGTACCATAATAGTGAATCTTATTAGACAAGATATTGCATCATCATCAGTCATGAACTTATTTTGAAGACGAGAGTATTAATACTATTATCTGTCAGGTACTAGTCAGCTGGATGTACTACATTCAGTGTTGATGAATACAGTATAGCTCAATCGACTCCAGTACCAATACATTTGAATACTGAAATTTTAGGTTCAAGTTTTCACTAACTTATATAACTAGTTCGAGTATTATATATATATATATATATTAAATATTATTCCACTGTTGACATTAGGGGCTGAAGTTTGATCAGTGTGTGATAGAGTATATGAATCCTTAACAGATTTTCTAGATGTTTCTATTTAGTGACAAGCTTTTACTAATGAGTGAAATGTATCCTGGATTTCATTACTAAAAACAGTCGACAGTTGATAAAAGCCTGTGAAAAAGTTTCATTATAAATCTAATTCATCCAAGATGCACATATACTAATATAGACAGATTGTTTACGAGCATTTATAAATAATTCAGTTATGTTGATCTCTAAACTGAATGGTTTGTTTATAAGGGTTTTATCATTGTTCTGGACAGCAACATCAATACTTAATTCAAACATAAGTGAACTATTATAACTTCTCCACAGCTGACTAACAGCTTATTCTGTTTCAGTTAGGAAGGAATTCTAACAACTTACTTATCTTTGAAGTACGAGCTAATAACATAGTTTAAGAAGAACAATGATAACTTCGTACTCATTTTATCTAGCTCATTCGCCAGAACAGCTCCAACATCCTCTATCTGAGCTACGACCATTCTTAATCATCACAAAATTTAACAGCTCTTGATAATTTATCAGTTCAACTCTTTTGATGGTCAGGTAATCATTGTGAAACCTAAAAGTTCTTCATTGAACAAATTATGGGTTCATGGGTGTTTATTGCTAAGGAGTCTCGGCGAGACTATAATTTATGGACGAATTAATCAGATACAGGACAACGTTTTAGACTTTGGCGCAATTCATTGATACATTTTACTAAATAGCTTCTAGGCATTTTAGCTGATGTCAGTTCGTGATGACAACCCTAAATCTAATCCCTAACCCTAACCATCAACTATAAATCATAATTCTGATTCCTCAAACTGCTTTATAACCTTCATGTAGTCCTAGTTAGTATCTGGACATTCTTAAGGTAGTCCATAATTTAAAGTCTCACTGGAATCTCACACTTGTAAAAAGCACTCTTTCACGACTTCTAGGTTTGCCATAGTAGTCCAAGTATAACAAATGCCAACTTCTAGTACAACTCTTGGTTTCATTTTTATTTAGAATTATTTATCCTAAATAATAGGATAAATAATATTGAAGTAATGGTGAGCTTAGACACAGAGCATTAGGGAGTGATGGTAAATCAGTTGATGAGGTGATGAATCTTCATCGACTGAGATGGTTGAGCCACGTGTTACGTATTCCTGAACACCAATTACCACGACGCTCTATAATGACTAGTATTGGGGATGATTGGAAGAGAGTTAGGGGCAGCCAAACCAAATCGTGGCATCAGTGCTTGAAGTCACTAACTTCTAGTCTGAGCCATGTTGGCAGATGCAGATTACCTGGTTGGAGTCCGCGCCACTATCATAACCAATGGTTGGAGACTCTGAGTGACATATCTCAAAATCGATCACAATGGCGTAGGTGTATACACTCTCTTCCCTTAAACATTGAGATTAAAATTGCTTCATAACTTTCTTCCTTCTTATACTATATCCTTTTATATTACCACCATTAAACTAACTACTTCTATGAATTCGGTGTTCATCTTGTTGTGCTAACGAGGTATGGCAACTTGGACGGATACATAAATGTGCCTGATCCTACGTTGTAACTGACTGACTAACTGATCCTAAATAATGTGGGAGTTTCTTATTCCTTATCCTTATTACTTGATAAATGAATATACATAATGAAGGTGAAGTCTTTTTTTCATTTCTATAGATCACTCATTATCTCGTATCTTATTCAAGTGAAATGTTAAGTAGATTTTGATTATTGTATCATCGTGTTTCATTACAAGTTTTTCCAAAGATCAAAGTAACAAATAAACAGTAGTAATAATAATGACAGCCGCATAATGGAACGTGTAATTAATTGTGTTTTTTTTCAGAAAAAAAAGATACATTTTCAGTAGTATAAATTAGATAGTTGGAATTTTCTTTTTGTATTAAAAGTTAACTGGAATGATGTTAAAAGATGTTTAAAACTATTTACTGTCAAATAAATCTCATAACAAGTGATTAATACAAATGTGATGGTTGATTATTTCACTTGGAAACAATATTATCCACACACACACACATATATACTACTGATTTGATTAATTTTCTTAATCAATAAATTTTTTTCGATTGATGTTAAACTGAAGGTCCTGCATTTGAATTGCGCAAGCAGGGACTGCGGATGTGGACTGCTTAGGAGTTACATACTAGAATGAGTAGAGTTAGACAGGGTTGCCCAATCTGAATATTTCTTTTCAACTGTCATCGATGGCATTCTGAAAACAGCTATAATGGATGTAGGTAATGGTGGTGGAAATTTGTTACCTAAAGGAAATATCGATGGTGAGTGTGGGGATGATATTGTCTTATTGTAAGATAACATTCAATCCATCTTATCAACACTTAATCATTTGGCAAGCATTATCTGTAGAGATATCATACGCTTTGAACATTCCAAGTGCAAATTACTTTTACAAGACTGGGGAGACGCTCTACTCGTACTCACATTTGATAGTGAGCAGTTAGTAGTAGAAACGTTGATGTACCTGAGTAGCTAAGTGCTGGTAGTGGCATGAGTAAAAAGATCAGTTTACGCATAGTGGAAGCTAGATTATTATCATTTTTATTATTTAAACACATAAATATTGGTACAAGGAAGCACCAGATACATATGCGCCACACAAATCTCATTCGATTTTTGTAAGGGCTGTAATACTGCCCGGGTGCCCAAACTGAAGCAGGTGGTTTTTTTAGGGGGCCACACCCCGAGTCTTTGATCTAAAGATCTGATCCACAAGGCAGTGGAGCATCGTGAGGAGATGCAGTCACATGGTAGCCGGTCACCAAAGATTGATTAATACGCCATTTGTTCCCTCAAGATCCTGGAGCCCATGTGCACCATTGGTTTGGAATGAGGGTTTTCCAACTTCCCTAGGTGGATTCGCAGTGTCCACCAACCCAGTTAAAGCGCAGGACATTTTCTTTTCGTCCTTTCAATTTCGCAAACAACACCCCCGCCACGAGAAGGACTTCCCTGTTTGAGGCTATATACGCGTGGCAATATGAGAGCATTTGGAGAGGGAGAGCGGACTCTCCCCACTCTCGGCCGTACCAGGGCATTTAGGGGCTAAAAGCGGCTCGCGTCGGCCGGGAAGCTAGAGCGGCTCATGACAATTTGGGCCATCTTTGTGATGTTAGTAAAAAACCAGATATACGACGCCTCGTTGAGAGCAATGGCAACACCGTACTAATAATGCAGAGATTCGACGTGTGTTCAAACACAGTAATTGTAATTCAATTGGTGCCAAAATCTTGAAATACAGAGTATAGAGGCTCGGAAATGTCGTCCAAGAAAATTTAACATCATGTATTATTTACCGACGTTGATTCTGGCTGGAAAAAGTAGAGGTGGTTAATTTAATAAATAATCACGAAGTATGAAAGAAAACTGTACAAGACTGGGATCTGTTGATCCCTCATGACTTCCTCGTTGGAATCCTAGCAAAAGGACAAAATAGTGGCTTGAAACGCTATAAGACATGGCTCATACTAAAAGTTTGTGGCGGACCTGGTGAAAAAAATGTTTGATTGTATTTTTTCTAACCGAAAGGCACTTCCCATTTCTTTAGCTTTCATCCACTTATTGTTGTCTACCTACCTTTCTTCATCTATTTCTTGACCATGCTGTATGGCGTATATTTATTTTGGCGCCTCTTCGTACCAAAATTTATATATTTAAATAAAATAAAATAAGAGATTATCATTGAAAACCAGGGACACTGGGCATTCATTTTGTCCTAGTGTGACACTATTCGGCAGTAAGTATTTACAACCTCAGCAGTAGTCAAACCCAGGACCTCGTGTATACCTTTAAATCACTGAGCGAATACCAAGAGGTTACTTGTTGACTGAATACCCGAAAACAATGAGATGTACAGAAATTTTCTTCTTCTTTTAATCAATAAAAAACATTCACAATATTATTTAAGTCAAACGATAAAGAAGAAAATAATGATAGAACTATTTACGACTGTGCATATATGTGAATAAGTAAAGCAATACTAGTAATAATATCAATAAGAAACAAATTAGTCATTTCATAAACTGTACATGACATAAATTACTGTACAGATATCAATATATACTTAAAAGGACAAATAAAGAATATCGTGTAGGAATAACGCGAGAGAGGGGATGGAAATATTCATAGAATAAAGTACAATACTCAGAAGGATAACCACTCCCATAAAAACAATTCGTTATCTAATTCGCTCGGCCAACACCTCTATCTGTACCATGCATCAGATGACCAACTCGTCTCATTTTTCGTTCCATTTTCTTTTGTTTCTTTTCATTTACCTGAGTTTCTTGATTTGGATCAAATATCCACGGTGCCAAAATATTTACCCAAAGCACGTAGAATAACCGAATAGGAATCTGGTATTATACATCAGACAAAATACATAACATTTATATATGGAATGTTGCTACTTAATATTAGTGAGTAGTGTAAATGTTATTAGCGAATGTTAACATACATTCCACATGAATTGAGCTTACATTCATATTTGGATATAAATGATAGCAAACATTCATGATGGCTCTCACTACAGTTCAACAAGAAACTATTAAAAGTTCCCAGTGACTCAAATAAGTTTTTTTTTAAAATCAGTATCATGGTGACACAAAAGTGGAGAAAGCTAAACAGCGTAATGAATGAGACAACTTTCCTTATAGTCTATTGAAAATCCATTATTTGTAGTGTCAAACAAGTTCAGCCGGTGAGACTAAAATTTATGGAAGACCTTTCAGGAACGCTAAAGTGACCTTGAGAATGTCCATATACTTACTATGGCCAAATGAGGGTTATAAAGCAGTGTGAAGAATAAGGATTATGAGTTGCAGCTGATGATTAGGAATTAGATTTAGGGCTTTCATCACGAACTGGCATCAGTTATAATACCTAGACGCTATTTAGCCAAATGGATGAATGAATTTCGCGCCAAAATCCAAGACCTGTTATCTTATATCTGATTGGTTCGTCTACAAATCATAGTTTCGTCAAAGGAGTTATTAAATACTAGAAACACAGGGGCAGAAAGACATGCGTATACATTAAACAAGAAACGAATTCAATGAAAAACTTACAATTAATAGGAGGAACCAGAAATATTGATGAATTAAGCTTAACATAGTGACTAAACTGCACATGATTATTGCATCTTTAGCTTGCCTGAAAAGAGAAAAACACCAACAACAACAACAAGAAATAATAAAAAGGTTGCAAACCTTTCGCAATATTGGAAAGAAAACAGCCGTGTAAAGTAAGCCGAAAAGAATGAGAGAAATGTAGCTCAATGTGAATGAAAACAATTCGAACAATTAATGAATCATGAGATAAATGAAAATAACTATAAGTTATTAGAACATGAGTTGTGTTTTGCTTTAAAGAATAATTCAACTTTTTTTCCAGCTACTCTCCAGTTGTTACCCACTATTCTGAAACAATAAAATTGGCAGACTGAAATACGTCCCCCATAACACAATCCTTAATAAAGCTTCAAAATGTATATTTAAATTAAAGCAACGTAAGTAGGGGGCCTTCAAAAATCCTTAAGGATGATGGTCTAGTTTTCGCAGTTAGATTGACTGAGATATTGGTCAGAGTATGCAAACATGTCGTAATCTTATATAGAACTGATCGCGATCGCTAGGCGTTAAGGTTTTTGGAATAGGACAGAAATCCTCTTTTGATAACCACATAGGAATCGGTGTGAAGAATATATTGTCTAACATGGTGGCCACAATAATCATGACTTCTAAGACTCATGAACAACGAAACCGAGGAAAATAAGCTGGTCTCTGGTCTGGACGTGGGCTGAGGAGGCTAAATCCACAAACACAGTATGTTAAGGAGTTATTCAGTCTGTTATATGCAACATGGGACCTGGCTCATATGTGAATCGGTTTAAGTTGCCACGTTAGCACAATGAGATAACATTATCAAGAAAAATCTTAGATCGCTAGAAGTAACAGTATTATTAATAGCAGAAAATATAAGCTGGAAAAATAAAATAGAAATTATACGGAGATTTCGGGATTCAAGATAAAAGTAAAAACAGAGTGAATGTAATTGCAAACATTTCTGAGTAAACACACAAGCACACACAAAATTTATTACAAAAAGATTAATTTTAGAATTCATAAACTGACTGAATAAACAGAAAAATTATGAAAGCTAATTCTGGGTCATTAGTTCACTTAATTTGTAGTCCGTAAATTGTTTAGTTATTTTGTATGACTACCTTACTTGTTTGATCATAAGTGTTCGTTCAATCTATGAACTATTGTCATTTTTTCTTCCTAATTTATTGTATTCTACTATCCCTGACTACACCAAAAAAAATTCCTGGAAAGAAGAATTGTAGGCTAGAATCCAAAAAAATTAGTTCACATTTCAGTTCATCCAATCAAGTTCAAATTAAATTCAGTCTTTGAAAGGAATAAGTTGAGCAGAATCATCACAAAGTATTTCTGACTGATTATATAGAAGTAAAACAAAACAATAACCATTGGTTTTTGAATGGAAATCACTCATTTCGAAGAACTGATTGGGGATGTAATTTTAAATTACAATACGTTAATTCAATGGTTTAAACATAACACGAGACCAATAAGACTTAAAATCCTGGGTTTGTCTCCTGCAGCCGATTTTGGGTGTGAGGTGCGCATTGCTGAGTAGAACAAAACAGTTGTCTAAAGGTCCTTGGTATTCGACGATTTATGTTAGCTCAAATCAGCCTGTTAGGTTGGGGGTCATACCCAATGAAGAACCTAGGATGTATGTACATCAGTTCAAGTTGCCACAGAACAGCACAGATACAGATGCCAGAGCAGTATAAGTGGTAATGGAAAACATTAAGAATACACAATATGATTCGAGAAGGAAGAATCAATCCACAGAATAAAAATCATATGATTTAGACACTAAGGATCTAACAGAAGATAAAGAGAGAATACATCTGTGCCACTGTGACAGATTTCAAGCAGTCACTAAATGTCGTCTATTATTCGTTGAGATGATCTTGTAAACCCCATTCAGGTATTTTTCACCTACTGATATGATCCGAAAGTCAGTGGCTATATGAACTAATGTCACTTATTGATTTGACTATCCCTAGTTCTCTTCTGATCTACTTGAACATGAGCAACCGTTCCCTACCGACGTGGATAGTAGCCAAATATACGTGATAAATGTCCTAACCACCTCAGTCAATGGAAATTTACTGCCTTATAGACCGATTTGCCTTCTTTTCCTAGTACCGACTGTCTAACCTCAATACAGCTTACTCAGTGGTTCTGTAGTGTGGTCTACTTATATCCATATAAGTAGTATATGGTGTTGGTCAGACATAGAATGTATTATGGCAGAAGACCGATAAGGCAAGAACTGAAATGATGCGCAATTGATGGGAAAATGCATGAATGGAATTAGAGAAGATGAACTGATATTTACAGGAGGAACAGTGAAGATCGAGACAATTGGTTGTTAATTTGCAAACTAACTATTAATTGTATCGTTATCAGAATTTAGTGAGATAGTCTGTAATTTTTGTTTAAATACATTCGGTTGTTTCCAGTCGTGTTCTGTTCAATACAGTTCCACCATAAGCGAAGTGTTTAGGAGACGTCTATATCTTTCACATTTTAAACAACGAACTAACCTTAAATAGACCACAGCTGGAAACCTAGAAGGACTGGAAGGCCGTTTTTCCCCGGTATGGGACACCCTGGCAATGCGCATTCTTGGTTCCTAGATGACGGTCTTGGATACGCACTCCCGAGGAGTCCCATACTAAAACGAAACGGCCGGCAAGTGCCTCCAGTTTTTCAATGACACTTTAGTTAAGATCAGTTCATGATCTAAATTATAAAAATTATAACAGCTTTCGAAATCCCTCCATACTTGTAAAATTCTTACCCAAAATAACCCAATTATTTAATAAGGGGATAAGGAAAAAAGAGTAAATCACTTACTCTCCAAGTCCACCAGACCCTATATTTAAATCTAGGCCAGCATCCACCAGTTGACGAGTCCCTCGTTCGTTGACAGCATAAGATGGTGAAGCCATGTAGGACATAAATTTATAAGCGGCTAAACAAGCACCGAAGCAGCCCAGTGACAACGTTATGTAACGTTTTGTAAAGGTTGACCAGAAAAATGTTAAAGTGATAACGAAATAAACTACCTAGAAAAAACATTAACAAGAACGAAATTTGTAACAAAGGAATATATATTACCTTGTAATATATATTGAAAAGTTTAGGCCCTGTGATTTAAAATTAGTAATACTGGTGAGCTGTACCTAATTTTCATCATAACACATGTCTTAAACTATGTCACACCACTACTCTTCCATTCTACAAGTTTCTCTGCCTAATTTTTAATCTTTTCGATCCTTCCTGCATCCAACACTGATTTTTTTTACTGTTCTCCCCTCTTACTTTGTTAAATGTGAAAAAAACGATAGCGTAGATAGATGCATATTTATCCGAGGTTTTAAATTACCCCTGTTTATCTTTTCTTTTAACTAAAAAGCCTCGTTTCCACTTGAAATTCAGGATAATGGTGAAAGGCCCTTAATTTCGCGAGAGAATAGTTCAAAATAAACCTTTAGGTTTATTAGTCCTCACCTATATTGTCAACTATTATCTGAAAAGTTACTTTAAAGATATATTCAGACGATTAAAGACTATCAGTTGGATATTTCGTTTATTCCTATCAGCTATTTATTCATATACAATAAGCAATTTCAAAATATCTTTAGTTAAATCACCAAAAAACCGAGCCTGAATCGAATATTAAAGATACTCAGTTATAATACCAGTATTACTAATTTTAAATCACAGGGCTTAAACTTTACAACAGTTAATCCCGGTTGGTTGCGAATATTCACTAATAAGTTTGCAATGTCTCCTTATTGTTTAAACTAAAATATCGGCGATTTCAAAGATTATTATGAATTGCATAAGTTCAGTCATCTTAATATTTCGTTCAGTCATCGATAGGGTTAGCCATAATAACACATTGAAGTGTGTGGTAGAAACACAAGTGTAAAGTATGTCACAGAAGCTACAGCTGGCGAGAGTTTATAGCTTTACCTAATTTCCCTCATCAAGTACTCCGAGTCTAACATTAGCAAAGCTCATTTCATGGTTTAAACACAAATAACTAGCGTTTTGGTAATATCCGTGATTGGGTAGTTATGTCAACCGTTGAACCAGGTCGCACTGTAGGGCCAGTGAAATGTCACTGGGCCCTAGCCAAATCATCTGACAGTTGGATCACTGAATGTCGAACTGTTCACTGATCGTCATCAAATCCAAGGTCCACCAGTGCACACCAATTAATGGCATGTCAAGGACTGGCCCATGTGGTGGTGGTCGAACTCATTTCCTTTTACTTAGTACTACTAATAAATTTCTGCAATAACGTTCTTAGTGTTATATGGCCACAGTACATTGACAAAACAAAAGAGTAATCCACGTTAGGTACTAACCGCAAGGTGTGACTTTGAAGTTAGCTGGTTCATCACACCACTTCCGTCTAACTTGAGTAGACCTCCAATTACTCGATACAGATAATCTACGTTACTGATCTACAACAATGCCAAGTCAACCTGGGATTCAGAATAACATTGCAGTATTGTGGAGAATTCCTGCAGTTGCATTTCGAATTGCTTCGAAAGTTCTTCTAACGTTGTGTGCGAATAACGGAAAACTATTTACGGTCTAACACATATCTAATCTGAAATGTAGTTTTGTAGAATATCGTCGTTTAACTTTTGAGTATACTTGAATACAACTTACTTAAACCCTTAAACGTAGGACAAATGTAAGAGATCTGAAAAGTATTATGAGTAAATTTTTTTAAATAATACCATGAGTTGATGGATTGCGAAGATGATCATTTAGTGGACATACATACTATATGCTGTCAACCAGCTTCTTGAAACCGTTAACACAAACCAATATGCCTGTAACCCATCGAAAGGAATAAAATTACACTGTCAATTGCAATCAGATTAAGTTACTTCGAACACTTAATTCTGTTTTCCGATGACTTCGTACCTTTGAACTCAGTCTGAACTAGTTTACGTACAAATTTTAACAAAGGGGGGTCCGAAACTAAACAATGACTAGTTACAAATGCATTTGAAGTATTTGTAAAAATTTAACATTTGGAACAAAGGTAATAAATGGTTATGAACGTTTCGAATTACAATAATTACAAACAGAGCACTTACATAACATGACAAAAATAAATAACGGTAGAACTTTAGTGTCCGTACATTTTCTTCGTGAATGAGTTTCTCACTCTTAGTTCCTTCTTTATGCGCTTTTTTTTGGTTGAACATTACCAAAAGCAAAAACGTGGCCTTGGGGTAGCAAAATATTTGACTACAGCGGTATTCACTACCCGATCCCATTATTCTAAATACCTCTAATATCATATCACTTTGTCACAAGTTAGCACAAATAAACTGATTTATTTTCTCTCGCTTTTTGCTCTGGTACGGTTCCAAGTATTTTGTAATGTCCAATGACAGGTAGTCTAGTCACTTGACAGCATGACTTCTAATCAGTTTAGTGGTTATTTGTAGATTCGTATATCTTTTATGTTGGGTTAATGAGTCTGTCTCAGTGACGTATGGCTTCTGGATAGCAGCATACATTACATCAGGCAGGAAGTTGTATGTTTGCATTGTAAAAATACTTAAGTGATAGAGTGCTAAAGAGGACGATTGTTGTAAGAATAAATAAATGATCTGTGTGAGAAGACAGAATTGATAGAATAAGGAGGGAAAAGGATATGATAACAAATCCAGACGCCTGCCATTTAAAAAGAATATTGATATTTATCCTCGTTGAGTTACATTTTGAGTTTTGAACGTTTGTTTCTTATCACAACTGATGTGTTCACTTTAATTGAATTTATTTCAGTTGAAGCAACACCAAGAGCATCATTTTTTAAAAGGTAGTTTATCATAAGTGCTTCTTTGAATTTTTCTTATCTTTTCTCATAAACTGATTTTAGCTCTACGTATCTCTTGTGTCATATTTATTCGAAAACTGTGATTCGTGACTAGTCAGTAAAAACAATCATTGGCAAGACCCGGGCTGTTGATGCTCATGGAAGTGGCACGTAGCCAGATAAGTATAAAGGAAGGTACCACAAAGTCTGCATGAATCAATGCCTGCGGCTCTTAAACAGTTTAATAAAACATTTTGCATATGGCTGTGTCAACAATGCTGCGTAGATGCAAATAGTTTGTTGTCCGGAGGCAATTGCACTGGCGAAAAGTGCGAAAAGGAGTATGAATTATCGTAATCGAGATGGACCAAACGGTACTCGCTCTGTCGATACACAAACCTTTGTGAAGGTATTCTAAATAAGCTCAGAGTCAAAGGACTAAAGACTGACTTCAAACAGGTCTGTTAGATGAGAAAGCTCGGGAAATTTGTTTGCTTCTGTCCCACTCTCCCCACATGGTGGGAGCCGAGGAACGCCTAGAAAACCTACTCGTTGGACTAGGTCAGTTTCTAAGGGAAAAAAACAACCTGACCACTAAAGTCATCAACAATCGTTCAGTAACTTACATTGTATGCAATACGAGTGCGGCTACTACTCCACAGAGAGAGCTGATTTATTGGTAAATATTAAGAATAAGGAACGGCCTAATATAGTTAAAGAAAAGTCAGCATCCCAAACAGCAGTTAAGAAATCGAAAGCTGATCATAGTGACAGGTCAGTCATTTCTCATGTACCTAAGGAAAGTGAGACCTCGGAACCAAGGACTCGCTTTGAGCATGACATGGAGTTGATGGAAGATTAGCCTAACCAGATATTTCCCAAAGATACCTTCGGGCTCACCGTACTCAAGGTCCATAGACTAGGTGGTCTAATGGACTTGAAACACTATCAAACCAGGATGCTAAAAGAGGTGTTTAAACCTCGCGGGAGAAGGTATGTAATACTGTAGAGCTGACAAAACTAAAAGAGTCAGGAGTCTTTATCCGCGAAGATTTGCTACTTGTGAACCATACAAGAAGGAGAAGGAACTGAAACTAATGTTAGATGATGGTAAGAAAGACCTTAAATATGTAAATTTTCAGGTGGAGAGGCTTCGATAGAGAACTGCGCAAAGGCCACTTTGAGCCCTTTGTTGACTCACTTTTCCTATCCTCTAGTTACCGTTCAGTATGTTGTTTATGTTTCTCCTTGTACTTGTTTAGTAGACCATACTGTTTGGTTTGTTACGCTTCAAGCCCAGTAGCTTACTTGTTAAGACTTTGCCTAAGCTAAGACTCTGTGTTCAACAGTCTAGACAATGGTTTAGAATTACTGTTATGTGAAGTTACATCCTAAAATAAGTCTTTTGAAAAAGATCCCCACAACCAGCTTTTATCAAAGTTAAGTAATATTGGTATTGGAGGTAATTCGTTTATGAAAATAGAGGACTTCCTACTTGGGCGTCAACAAAGAGTATGGGTGGACTGGAAGTTGTCCGTGCATACAGGAGTGCCTCTGGGTATTATTTAAGGTCAAAATTGTTCCTTCTGTGAGTAAATAAACTTCCTAGTTGCCTGTCACCATTGGTTTCGTTATATACTCGAGTTATGGAGGGCGATAAAAAAGTGAAGATGATAGTTTGGGGCTTCAAAATGACCTGGGTAAATTATATGAATGGTCTGAAATTTGGCATTTGCCGACACCACCATTGCCAGGGCCGACACAGACCACCCAGACTCCTGTCCTTCCAAAGCTGAAAATAACAATATCTGTAGGAAGTACTTACTGATATGTGGTAATGATAACCATGGCAATCTGTTTGACATATATCAGACACAACTGGTTTAAGCGTAAATGGTCAACCATGGACGAATACGCGTTTTTTTAAAGTTTTTTTCTCAAAGCTTTCAGCTGGTAGGGCTGTTGTCACTTGGATTGGGACGGCACGCAAAATAGTCATGTCTCAGTCGGTATTTAATACATTTATATTTTCTACCACAACAATATATCCAGTCTTAAAATTGTAGATTTGTCACGATGTAGATACATAATATATATGACCTTATATAAAAGTCATACTGTTTATACTTATTATTATTTTACCTTCACCAGCTGTGACTTACTCTACGTGTCAAATGTTGAATGTTGAATGTTCCTGTCCATGCACCAACAGAAACTAATGGCCATGAAACAATCATGTTTAATATGGTCACAAACGAGAAAACTTCGTGGGGTCGAGAATGTTCTTCACCTTGGTTACACTATACGACTAGGAAGCATCTTTAACACGCCATATGGTCACCAGAGTGGTGGGGGTTAACAGTATACGGTCACTGGAAGATAGTGAGGAACATCAATTAAAAGGCTGTCTAGCACAATCTACCTCAGGGTAAGCAAACATCCAGAAAGTAAAGATGTTGTGTTGAGCAAATCATATATTGCTAGCTAAAGGCCAAACGGAGAGCCTGAGACAAATGGAGTCTCTCTGAAAGATTGCGATCCTAGCTCTAATTTAGTATCGCGAAACGGATGCAATGCCTAAATTCTAGGGAATGGTAGGTGCTTCGAAGACAAACTACCAGAAAAATCCAAACTCACCCAAATTTCTCTACACTTTCATGACTAGAAAATAACCTGCAGACTAGAGGACATGCACGTTTGGAGGACGAAATGGCGGAAATCTCACTAACGAAGAGATGACAGAGATCCTTAATGTCAAGTTCATAGACCTGTGGTAGTTGTAGTATAGGTTTGTAACCAAATAGTCTTTGAAGCAGAACATACGATAGCCGAGATGATATACATTCAACATTTGACACGTAGAGTATGTCACAGCTGGTGAAGGTAAAATAATTGGTTGGTAGAACATGGTTTGGCCATACAGTCGAGATCACACTGTGTAACTACCTTCATTTTGTAGGTACATAAATTTTTTAATAGGTACATGGAATGTCCGGATAATGTGGGAGACCGGAAGGGTCTTCAAAATTGCTGCATAAATGAGAAAATACAAACTGGAAGTGCTTGGAATCAGTGAAACAAATTGGACGCAGGTTGTACAACAATGACTATCTTCAGGAGAACTTCTGTTATACTCCGGTCATGAAGAAGAAAATGCCCCACATACACAAGGAGTTGCATTGATGCTGTCCAGAAAAGCACAAAATGCACTGATTGGATGGGAATCTCATGGACCAAGGATCATCAAAGCCTCCTTCAAAACAAAGAGAGAGGTTATTACAATGAACGTCATCCAATGCCATGCGCCTAACAACAACTACGATGAAGACGCTAAAGACCAATTCTACGATAGGCTGCAGTCGATATTCGAGAAGTGCCCAACCAAAGACATGATCATTCTGATGGGAGATCTCAATGCCAAGGTTGGAAAGGACAACAATGGATACGAAGACGTCATAGGACAACATGGACTGGGAGAAAGGAACGAAAATGCTTAGAGATTCGCAAACATATGTGCCTTCAATAAACTGGTCATAGGTGGCACCATATTCCCACACAAAAAGGCTGCAAGAGAGGGAAACATGAGACAACTGTATGATACAACAAAGAAACTTGCTGGAAATTACCGTAAACCAGAAAGACCAGTGAAAAGCAAGGAAGGCAAAGTAATCATCGACATTGAAGAACAACGAAACAGGTGGGTAGAACACTTTAAGGAACTCTTGAATCGACCAGCTCCACTGAACCCACCGAGCATCGAAGCAGCACCCACAGACCTCCCAATCGATGTCGGCCCACCAACGAATGAAAAGATCAGCATGGCCAATGCTTGTATCAATATGCCAAAGAAAGGCGATCTCAGCAAGTGCGACAACTACAGGGGCATCACTCTCCTTTCAATACCAGGAAAAGACTTCAACAGAGTAGTGTTAAAAGGGATGAAGGATTCTGTGGACGCCCAACTCCGAGATCAACAAGCTGGATTTCGTAAGGATAGATCGTGCACAGATCAAATCGCAACTCTACGTATCATTGTGGAACAATCAATGGAATGGAATTCATCACTCTACATCTACTTCATCGACTACGAGAAGGCATTTGATAGTGTGGACAGGACGACACTATGGAGGCTTCTTCGAAACTACGGCGTGCCTGAGAAGGTAGTCAATATCATACGGAACTCCTATGATGGACTAAACTGCCAAATCATCCACGGAGGACAACTCACCGACTCGTTTCAAGTAAAGACCGATGTAAGGCAAGGTTGCTAACTCACAACCTTTTTCTTTCTCCTGGTGATCGACTGGATTATGAAGACGTCAGTATCTGTAGGAGTGCACGGGATACAGTGGACAGGCAGGATCCAGCTTGACGATTTAGACTTCGCCGATGATCTGGCTCTTCTATCACAAACGCAACAACAAATGCAGGAGAAAACGACCAGTGTAGCAGCAG